TGGAGCTGTCAGCAGTGCCTGGGCCTTTCGGTTCTTGCAGTCATGCAATGCAGAGGAGTTTACAGGCTTACAGCTGAGCTGCAACTAACAGCCTTCTGTCTCACCTACAAGAGTTAAAAACCTTGGGCAGGGGCCAGCCGCTCACAGGTGAGCTAAGTGGCCTTAGCTGCACTTGAGGACTGTGTGGCCTCTACACACTCACGACTGCCTGTAACACAGCTCCAGAGGATCTGACACCTCTGGCCTCCAAGGGTACCTGCACTCATGTGCACACCCCCACCCACCCACATACACACACATTAAAAATTAATAACTAGCCGGGGATAGTGGTGGTGCATGCCTTTAATCCCAGTTCTCAGGAGGCAAAGTCAGGCAGATCTCTGAGTTCAAGGCCCGCATGGTCTATAGATGAGTTCCAGGACAGCAAGGACTACACAGAGAAAGCCTGTTAAAAAACAAACAAACAAAGAACAAAACAAAAAAAAAAAAAAAACTAAGTAAAAAGATGAAGTGATCTAACATACATGCACTTGGAGGTCCAGATAGGAAGAGAAGGATTCGTCATACAAATGTTTGACAGAATAATGGCCCCAAAGCTGCCAAACCTGGTTATAGACAGCAGGTCAAAAAGCAGTGATCTCTCCAAGTGAGCTCACGTGGCGACCAGCATACGGAGGTGCCAGATAAGTTACTGACGAACAGTAAGGGAAAGTCTTGAAAGATGACCGATGCCTGTGTGGCCATGGTGACACCAGTGCTTGGGAGACTGAGGATCAATGATCATGGGCTCTATGCCGGCCTGGGCTACATAACAAATCTCTTGCAAAAACACAAATAACCCAAAGACAGTGGCCTGTGCCTGTGTATGAGCAAGGCCAAGAATACGCACAGGGCCGGGGTGTGAGCAAGCGATTCCAAAGAAAAGATGCTTAAAGCACTGAGAGAAAACCCTTCTGTCCCTAGCTGCACCCCATACTTACCTTCAGACAGTGAAAGCCTGGAGCCAGCGTGGTGGCGCATGCCTTTAATACCAGCACTGCAGAGGCAGGCGGGTCTCTGTGAGTTTAAGACCAGTTTGCTTTGTCTACGGAGTGAGTTCCAGGACAGCCAGGGCTGTGTAAAGAGACCCTGTCTCAAAACAATCAAACAAACACAAAAGAAAGCCTGGGCTGGCAATGTGGCTCAGCAGGCAAAGGCGCTGGCCTGGTGTCCTTGGGCCTGTTAAAGGCAGGAGGGGAGAACCAACTCCGCAGAGTTGCTCTCTGACCTCTTCAGGGATTCTGAGGCTCATCTCCCCCCATACCCCCACACACCATACATACAGTGATACTTTCTAAAGATTAAAAACTAGCCAAAAAAATTAATAAAAGCCTGGCCTGATGAGGTGGCACAGCAGGAAAAATACTTGTGCAAGCCTGGTGACTTGAATTCAATGCCAGAAGCCGTTGCTGATGCAGAAAACTGACCCCCAAACTTGTCCTCTCACCCCCATGCTGTGCTGTGACTTCTCCAGTCTGCTCCCCGCCCCCACACCGTACAGACACAGATAATAAATTTATATAAAAATAAACCTTTTCAAGTGTGTTCAGGCTGAGAAAGATTCATCACACACACCTCCACGTCAGTGCTAAAGGAAATTTTTGTCATGAAGACATTCTTTATGTCTCCGGGAGGGAACAGCAGTGCGGGAGGTCTGTGCAGGTAAATGGACAGTAGGTGCCTTGAGATGCATTGACTGGTGCTGTGTGTGTGGACTTTTTCTCCCCCAGTACTCTAAACCCTATTCTGTCCAAGTTTCCCGCAGACTCAGTGTAATGCCAGTCGACAGGCGTCTAGAAGGCAGATGGAAACTCAGAGGGTTGAGAATAGCAAGAAATGAATGGCCTGATGAACAAGGGTCAGGAGTCTGCACGATGGAACTTCAAAACCTAGGGCAGGCCCAGCGGTGCTCGGGAGGCAGAGGCAGGCTGATCTCTGTGAGTTTGAGGCCAGCCTGGTCTACAGAGTGAGTTCCAGGACAGTCAGGACTGTTACACAGTGAAACTCTGTCTCAACCTTCTCTCCCTGCCAAAACAGCCTGGGGTGGATCTCTGTAGCTAACACGGATCTAAGATGTGGACCGAGGGCCACAGCAGCTGTCCCATCTACGAGAAGATCTGTGCTGGCTCCTGTGGCTGTGATCAAATACTCTGACTGACGCTTCCCCCTTAGGGGCGAAGGCTCTGTTCTGGTCCACAGACTGCTCCTCATCTGCTGTGGGCAAGGGGCAGCCACAGGTCACACAGAGAGCAGCGCGTGCTGCTCAGCTCCTATGCGTGTTCTTTCTGTCCAGTACTCGGTGCCTGACAGTGGGCTTCCCGTCTCAGTCAGTGAGGGTGTCCCGCAGGCACACGTAGGGGCCGTCTCCCGTGACCTAGAGTCAGTCATGTGGGCGACACTCGCAGTCTCCACTTCTTCCTTTTGTACGTGTATAGCTTTGCACTCTAGGGTTGCTCTCATGGGGGGAATCTGGGAGCCACTTTTTAGAAAGAGTCCTCAAGGGCCATGACTAGTCCCTGCTTCAGCTAGCTCTGTCTCGTCTTTGTTTTTTTTTTGGGGGGGGGGTTGTTTTGTTGTTTTTGTTGTTGTTGGTTTTCAAGTCAGGGTTTCTCTGTGTAGCCCTGGCTGTCCTGGTACTTTCTCTGTAGATCAGGCTGGCCTCGAACTGAGACATTCGCCTACCTCTGCCCCTCTAGTGCTGGGATTAAAGGTGTGTGCCACCAATACCCAGCTTCTTTGTTTTTTAGTTTAAAAAAATTATTTACTCTCTCTCATTCTGTGTGTGTGTGTGTGTGTGTGAGAGAGAGAGAGAGAGCAGGTTGGAGCAAGCCGTGGCACCTGTGTGGAGGTTAGAGGACAACTTGGGAGTCACCAAGCCTGGCGACAGGCACCCTTACCTGCTGTGCCCTCTCCATGGCCCCCGCCGTCTGTGTCTGTCACTAGTGCCCTAGGGTCTGTCTTTCACATCGATTTCGTTCATTAAACCATGAGTCAGGAATCGGCATAGGCTGCAGATTGGCAGCTGGAAATAGCACCATGCCTGTTTGTGGAAATGAGATTGCACTCAGTTTAAAGACGTGTGTGGGGACATGATGGAAATGCTCCGGATGCGCTTTTCCATTCAGAGTGATCAGTGCAAGATGTGTTCTGAGCCACTTGGCTCCTGTCTGTTCCAATCCACAAAGGTCTTATTTCACTTAGCGAAACTAGATTTTCCCAAACACCAAAAGAAGACTTCTCCACACGGTGGCTAGTCAAGTCCTAAGAAAGAACTGCTGTGTCAGACTTTCCCAGGCAGTGCACATGAGGTCGTGGGCCAACTGGACTACTTGGGTTCAGATTCCAGCTCCACCCTTTTCATCCCTGCCGCTTGGTCAAGTAACCTGTCTCTGAAATGGACACGCCCACAGTCCTTTCCTCACCCTGTAGCTGTGACAAGTGACTTAACCTGTAGCTTGCAGGTGGTACATGGTGCACAACAATCCTTTAGCCAGAAGTGTGTGTTGCCGTTACTGGGGGATGGTAGATTGTGTCATTGTCACATGGATTGTCATTGAGATATTCAAGGGGACCTTAACTCGTTCCCTTTCATTTCTATCGTACATTTTTGCATTGAGTCCCAGCATGACATGTGCATGGGTAATTTGTGGAGCCACTTGTAGGCTACCAAGATGGCTGCTGGGCAGGAGGGCCTGTGGGGCGAACAAGATGAATTCCCTTAGATGTTACATAGGTGTGCTGAGACCCTGGTGGAGGGTATGGATTTATATGTAAGCACACATTTCAGCCGCTAGCACATTCTGTACTTAGATCTCTTACGGTCAGTGCAGCCTTTGGTCTTCTGTCCCTCGTGTTCACAGAGCCTCTGTTGGAGAGCCATATCTGTCATCTCTAGTCCCATGGTAGTGGGCAGCACTGTGGCACTCTAGGGCTCTGTCAATCACCCTTGAGCCCACAACTGGCTGTGACTTTGAAGGCTTTTGGGGACCGAGACTGGTGTGCATTTGCCATCTTGTCCTGTCCTCTTGCTCACACTTGCACACCTTCTCCTTTCTACCCACACAGCACCGTGCCCGCCCTCAGCGGGTCCCCCTCCGCGCAGTGTCTCTCCCCAGCAGTGCTGTGCAGAGTGCACCCACTCTGCTGCCATCAGCACCTCTAGTGTCAGAGGAAACCCCCAGGCCCTGCCACACCCATGACCACCTTCCTCTAAAACCATTATTGTTATTGTTACCGGAAAGGGGGGTGAGGGCATGAGTCAAAGAATCCCAAGCTAACTCCAAAAGATTCCAGTTATATTTCCTTATTATAAGGGCAAACTCACAGAACAGGAACGAGAAGTCCCACATCAGGTGTGTAAAGCAGGAACCAAAGAGAGAGAGAGCCCTGGGCAGGCCAGCGGTTTTTCTCTGGGTACCCAAAAGGTCACACCCTCACCTGGCCCAGCCTCTTAAAGGTTATTGGCTGAAGGAGGTTCCCCATCATGTTATAGACATCCCAGGCTTCCATCTGTCTGTCCCTTTGCTCCTCCTCCCTGTCTTTTTCATTTCCTGTGGCTCCTGGGCTTTTTGCCTGGGAAAAGGTGCTTAAAGATTGTGAGAACTCTGCCAGGTGAACAGATTCATCCAGTGAGAGGGGTTTTCTCATCAAACCTTTTGAACCACATTATTTGAGCCTCCAGTATCTGAGCCAGGAGTAGGTGCTGCAGGTCAGGAACGTTAGGAGGACAGGGAATTAGTTACCCTGGGGAGAATTTAGAGGACGGATTAAAGCAGAACAGGAGCAGGCAGACACTGGGTGGGGAACTAGTGTGCGTTAGTGTGCTGCCAGCTGAGTGTGTGAGCCAGGGGCGCTTGAAAATCCTGTTTGTCCCCGCGATGCCTTAGATTTTATCTTCCAAGTTCTAACTGTCCTAAAATGCTGACACCATCTCATCATTCTCTCTCTCTCTCTCTCTCTAGAATTTTCTCCTTCTTGGACATAGTAACTCTTTGTCGATGTGCACAGATTTCCAAGGTAGAGTATTGGCTGGTTGCTGGTGTCGATGAGAGGGCTGAGCTTGGGTCATACACGTTACAACTAAACGTTTGGGAATACACAGCATTATCTGTTCTCAGTGGATGTGTCCTCCTCACCCCACCTCCTCTCTTACCTCCACTTCCCAGGCATGGAACATCTTAGCCCTGGATGGAAGCAACTGGCAGAGAATAGACCTTTTTAACTTCCAAACAGATGTAGAGGTAGGTTAGTTCACTTAAGTTATTTTGTATTTATTTATTGTGTGTGTATGTGTGGACATGCATTTGCCAAGGGTAGAAGTGGAGGTCAGAGGACAACCTGTAGGAGTTGGCTCTTGGGTTCCAAGGATCAGACTCAGGTCTCTGGCTTGGTGACAGGCACCTTTACCTACTCAGACGTTACTCTGGCCCCATTTGTGGTAATAGTCTTTGAGCAGGGTCTCTTCGTATTTCAAGCATCTCCAGCGAGTGGGCAGAACACATCTCTCTCACTATTCACTTTGGAGCCCCTCATTCCTCCTGCTTTGGTGTGTGAGTACAGAGAAGGCAAGGACCAAGGGATCCACCTGTCCTCTGGAAAGGGAAGCCTTAGTCCCTACAGATAACCCCCAGCAGTAATTCCTGACCACCCACATGGTTCTGAGCATGCTCTGGGTGCTCTTGCGTTGGTCCTCTCAATATCAGACTTCAGAGGGGCTGCAGAGACAAGTTGGTGGTTAGGAGCACTTGCTGTTCCTGCAAAGGATCCAGGTTTGATTCCCAATACCACATGGCGGCTTACAACCATCTGTAACTCCAGTTCTAGGCAATAGGATGCCCTCTTGTGGCCGCTGAGGGCTCCTCCACCCACATTGTGCACATAAACTCACACAGGCAAACACACAAATAGATTAAACAAAATAAAGATTAAAAAAATAATTAAAAAAAAACAAACAGGAGAAACTGAGGAACAAATAGGTTGAGTCTAAGGAAGTGGGCTATGCACCTGCAGGTTGACAGAAAAGGCAGAATGAAGTGTTCAAGTGTCAGGAGCTCAGGGGTCTTCCCTCCAGTGCCCCTCTTTGTGAGTGTGTGTGCTTCTCTGGGGTGAGGAATTTCCATGCCTTTGGAGACTGGACATGTGAGACCAGGAGATCACTCAGTGGGTAAAGGCACTTGCTACCAAGCTTGACTATCTGAGATTAATTCTGGGGCCCCACATAGTAGAAGGGGAGAACAAACTCTGGCAAATTGACTTCTGATCTCAGCACATATGCCATGGTATTTTTTATATGCATACACGTCTAAATAAATAAAAATTTAAAATAAAAAAGCAATTGGACATTCCTCATCAATCTTTGTAGTTATGAAAAATGCCATCCACCCATAGCTGAGGAACTATTGACAGTCGATAGCTGTTGAGAGAGGGAGGAATCAGTTTTCTTTAAGGACAAACCCTGAGCCGGGCAGTGATGGCACACACCTTTAATCCCAGCACTAGGGAGACAGAGGTAGGCGGATCTCTATGACTTCAAGGCCAGCATAGACTACAGAGTAGGTTCCAGGACAGCCAGGGCTACATCCTGAAACCCTGTCTCAAAAAACAAAACACAAAACAAGAATATGGCCCCTGGTATTGTGGAGACGGTGGCTTTCTAGTCCTCGGAAAGGCGGTGAGGTTGTCAGACTTCTCACTGTGCTGGTGAAAGACAGGTGAGGACCGGCTCCGGGAGCTTTGGGCGCATCTCTAGCTGCATTTGGAAAACTCCACTCACTTTAGCTTATTCTGTTATGAAATAAACAGCATGAAAAAGTGACCGTCTCTCACCTTTCTCCATTTAAGGGCCGAGTTGTGGAAAACATCTCCAAGAGGTGCGGTGGCTTCCTCAGGAAACTCAGCTTGCGGGGTTGCATCGGCGTTGGGGACTCCTCCTTGAAGTGAGTGACAGCCACCACAGCTGATGTGTGGCATCAAGAAAAGCAAAGCAAACATATTCTGTCCTTTTCTTCCACTAAGTCCTCCCTGTGGTGATTATCATAATGAGAGCTATGGCTTTGGAGCGACTGAAACTCCAGTGTCCTGAAGGGAACAGCCTGGGGACAATGGCGTCAGCTGCCCAGTGTGAGCTCGCTCTCCTGGACGCCAGCGGGGCAGTTACAGAGCATGTGCGGAAGTGCCGGGAGTGCCCATCAAACAGCTGGCAGACAGCGGGGCTGTGCCCAGACCTATTTTCTCACTCCCCTCTGTCCCTTCTACCCTCTCCTCTAGTTTCTTCCAAGACTTTACTCACACGCAAAGTAACTCAGAAGCGCCTGTATTGTAAGGTGGAATTCTGCTTACTCGTGATGGGACAGGTTTATGATGTTACTTTTATTATGGTGATCAGCAGCACCTGTGCACCTGCATGCATGTCCCCTTCCTCCTGGATAGCCATGGTTCATTGGAGGAGGAATGGGTTTGTTTGGCTTACAGGTTACAGCCCATCATGGAGGGAAGCTAAGGCGAGAACTCTAGGCAAGAGCTTGAAGCAGAGACCATGGAGGAACACTGCTTACTGGCTTGCCCGGCCCGCCTGCTTAGGGACTGTGTCACCCTAGTTGACATGTGAAGCTAACTACAGCGTCAGGCTCAGTAGCAAGTGGCCCCAGGCTTGGTGGCCAGCATTCTCACCTGCTGGATCATCTCTCCAGCCCATGAAGGATTTTTTTTTTTTCTTTTTAAGACAAGGTCTCTTGATTATGTAGCTCTGGCTGCTCTGGAACTTGCTAGTAGACCAGGATGGCCTTGAACTCACAGAGACCCACATTACACCCTGCCTTCAGGAGGGTCTTTTAAATAGAATGTAGTAGAAAGTAGGGAAGGCTAAAGAAAGGGAGGGCCAATACAGGTCATGTGGCTTGACCGTGGTCAACACCCATGAGCTACCACAGTGAACAATGCCAGTATGAAACCATCACTGTGTACACTGTAGATACACTGATACATTAAAGACTAGTTCAGGCTGGGTGTGGTAGTGTTCACATCAAACCCCAGCCCTCGTAAGTAGAGGCAGACAGATCTCCCTGAGTTCAAGACCAGCTTGAACTGTCCTTGGCTGTCCTGGAACTTGCTCTGTAGACCAGGCTGTCCTGGAGCTCACAGAGATCCGCCTGCCTCTGCCTCTGCCTCCTGAGTGCTGGGTTTAAGGTGAGCACCACCACGCCTGGTAGGAAGCACTGTTGAGAGGCCCAAGAATGTTTAGTGGTTTGTCTTGAGTTTGAAACCAAAAATCTTTATTGATTATTTAGATATCTGTGCATCCGAGGGAGACGCTGGTCCTGTGTGTGGCTCCTGCCCAGCACAGTTGCCCTGGATTCCGTCAATCATCTGGCTGTAGCTGCCGTTTGTTCCCCTTTCCTGCCGAGCAGGAACATCCTGCAGATGTGCAGGCCCTCTCGAGGTGTCTGGCTAACCATCTCATACACTTGTCCTACAGGGTTGGGGACAACGGCTCAGGACTTAAGAGCACTGCTGCTCTTGTCGGGTTCCCAGCACTCATGTCCAGGAGCTCAGACCCTGCTGTAACCTCTGCCTCGGGACCCAGTGCCCTCCTCTGGCCTCCACGGGCACCTGCACTCACATGGAACACACACAGGCACATACATATTCATAAAATAAAAGTAACCTCATACAATTGCTTTTAATACACGAACCTCGCTGAACTTCAGAACTTAGCAGAGCCTTGGGTGTGTTTGGAACACACTATGACCACAGAACTGAGCAAAAGCGTCCAATATACAGCCTGTCCCATAGCACAGATGTGAGTGTCTTATATACTTTATCAAACATCTGCATCCAAACACAACACGGCCTCTAGAATAGCCACACTGTTCATTCTGATTATCATGCGGCCAGCCGGGAACTGTGCCTCCCACTCCCGTGGCTGCCTGTAGGGGTTAGTGAGCTCTCCCCCTGTCCAGTGTCTGGCTGCAGGAGTTAGTGAACTTTGTGCCCTGTCCCCCAATCTGACTGCAGGTGTTGGTGAGCTGTGGTCATTGTGACCAGAGTGCCTGACAGGAGCAACTAAAGGAAAGTTTCTTTCAGCTCCCGGTTTCAGGTTAGTCTGTGCTGTCTATACTGGGCACATTGACAGTTTGTGGCAGAGACTGGTTGGTGAACAGGAAGCGGAAGGCAAGGCATCAATGAGCCAGGAGAGAGAGCTCCAGGAACCCACCCCCAGCGACCTGCTTCCTCTGGCTAGGTGCCTCTCCTCAAAACTCCACAGCTTCCTCAGGTAGCAGCAGTAAGGGCCTGTGCTCCACACAGGAGCCCCTGGGAACAGGGCAGATTTAGGCCTTAGCAGTGCACAGCCGCAGGGGAGGGAGCTGAAACTCAGTGAGTTCTCCAACTGCTTGTCATTGTCAGACAGCCATTCAAAGTACTAAATCTAACCGCTGCTACCCAGGGACTCTGCTGCAGCCGGCAGTCCTGTGCAGCCGCTGTCAGTCAGGGGATCTGCTGCAGTGGGGAGTCCTGTGCAGCCGCTGTCAGTCGGGATCTGCTGCAGCCGGCAGTCCTGTGCAGCCGCTGTCAGTCAGGGGATCTGCTGCAGCGGGGAGTCCTGTGCAGCCGCTGTCAGTCAGGATCTGCTGCAGTGGGGAGTCCTGTGCAGCCGCTGTCAGCCGGGATCTGCTGCAGTGGGGAGTTCTGTGCAGCCGCTGTCAGAGGATCTGCTGCAGCCGGCAGTCCTGTGCAGCCGCTGTCAGGGGATCTGCTGCAGCCGGCAGTCCTGTGCAGCAGGACTGTCCACTATCAGGGATTTACTGCTTGTGTTCATTTATGGATGGACAGCTGGGGGCTTTCCCATTTGCTTGGGTGCAGATAAAGCTGTCGTGGGTGTTAATTTCTCCTGCCGTGGAGTATTTGGGTCCTGTAAGCAATGCTTGCTGATGTTTGCATGCTTGCACGATGGTCCATTGCAGTGTGCCCCAGCCTCCAGCTTAAACATTTAAGAAGCTTCCCATCTATTTTACAAGCAGAATGTTCTATTGTAGGTTCCCATGGTGGGCTGTGACTCTGCAGGTCTTCCATGTTCCCGCCAAAGTTTCGTGTGGCATAATTTCGCTGTGGCCCTAGTAGTGCACAGTGGCATCTTGTGGTTGTTCTGCATTTTCCTGGTCCTGATGCCACTGGGTGGCTTCCTATGCTCTGACTCACTGCCATGGATCTTGGGGAGATGTCTAAGTCATGTGCCCATGTCTTTTTCATAGGTTGTTTTCATTCATTTTTTGAGAGTTTTTTTTTTTTTTTTTCCAAGACAGAGTTTCTCTGTGTAACAGTCCTGGCTGTCCTGGAATTTGTTCTGTAGACCAGGCTGTTCTCGAACTCAGAGATCCCCCTGTCTCCATCTTCCGAGCGCTGGGATTAAAGGCATGTACCACCACTGTCCAGCTATTTTTGAGAGTTCTTATTACATTTTTGGGTACCAGTGCTTGGCACAGTACCTTTGCAAATGCGCTCTCCCAGTCTCTTAGCTGCCTGTCTGAAGGGAAGTTTCTGTACATTTGATTTAGTTTTGAAATTTTGTTTGTGTGTGGGCCTTCACGGGTCGGAGTGCATCACATGTGTACAGGTGTCTGCAGAGGCCAGGGAGGGCGCTGGGTTCCTCTGGAGCTGGAGATATGGACAGTTGAGCTTCATGTGGGTAATGGGAACCAAACTTGAATCCTCTGGAGGAAGAGCAAGTGCTGCTAGCTCACTGCACGGCCATCCCTCTAGCCCCAAAGCGAAGTTTTTAATGAAAGACCACTGACTTATTCCTTATGGAACATAAGAACTTATGCCTGAGCCAAGGTCACAAACACCCTGTCCCGTGCTTTCCTTGTAAATGCCCTTAAAATCTGTTCATCTTGTTCTCTGTGTATGTGCGAATGTCTTCATGAGTGTGCACCATGTGTACCCCGCGCCCATGGAGGCCAGGAGAGGAACTGGAGTTATCAGCTGCTGCGGGAGTGTTGGGACCGGAATGCAGGCCCTCTGCTGAAGCAGCCAGTGTTCCTGACTGCTGCCCACCTCTCGGGCTCCGCTACCCTCAGAAGTTTTGTGATTTAAACTTGGATCTATTTTGAATATTTGGGGGCCGTTGTTGGTGACTGAGCCCAGGGTCTTGCTCATGCCAGATGTTCCCGCTCAGCCATGCCCCGACCAGAGCTGGTTCCTCTGTGTAACACAGGGTCATATTTGGGTTTGGGCTTTGCCTATGAACATCCTACTATTCTAACATAATCTATGTCTTATTGTCAGGCACACTCTGTTTAGCAATGCTATCATACTTTAAAGCCAGACACAGCTGGTCTTCCAACTTTGCTCTTTTAGGAAGTTGTTTTAGCTGCTCTGATGGCATTACAGAAGCAGCTAGCTGCTTTCTTCAGGGCATCCTGGTGGGGTCTCAGGGCAGACTTGATACTACAGATCCATCTGCCGAGAAGTGGCACCCTGACAAACACAAATCTGTCAAGTGCCTGTCACAGTGCCTTTGTATATAACTGTTCAAGTCTCAGCTTGCACTGGGCAGTGTCAAAGCTGTATACATATTTTGTCAAACTTAGTTCTAAATATTCTTTTTTTCTAAACATTTTTTCAAAAATATTTCTTTTGGGGCTGGAGAGATGGCTCAGTGGTTAAGAGCATTGCCTGCTCTTCCAAAGGTCCTGAGTTCAATTCCCAGCAACCACATGGTGGCTCACAACCATCTGTAATGAAGTCTGGTGCCCTCTTCTGGCCTGCAGACATACACACAGACAGAATATTGTATACATACTAAATAAATTTAAAAAAAACGTGCTTTACTCAAAAATATTTTAAAGTACATGTGGCATGTGTTATCTGTTGCGAAGTGGGGTATGTGCATCTGAGTGCAGTATCCACGGAGGCCAGAAGAGGGCATCAGATACCCTGGAGTTGGAGTTATAGGTGATTGTGAACCACCTATTATAGGTGCTGGGAACTGAACTCGGGTCCTTTCTAAGAGCAGTATGTACTCTTAACCACTGGGCTGTCTCTCCAGCCCCTGCCTCTACATATTTGGAAGTGCTGTTGCAAGTTGTACGCTTTATTCCAATCTCACTGTTCATTGCTAGAAATAGAGAAATGATTAATTTTGATACATTGTTTTTCTTGCCCTCTGCAATGCTGGGGATGGAACCTCATATATATGCACCGTGTATGCAGTTTGCCACGGAGCTGCATTCCACACCAACTCTTGTGTGTTTTTGTGTGAGCACATGTGTTACTGCAGATCATACCCAGAGCCTTGTGCATACCAGGCAAATCCTCTGCCATTGGTACATGCCCTGCCCTGCGGACTCAGTGAGTTTTTTTCTACCTACCGAATCTAATTTGTTGTTAATCCATCCATACATATCATTATAGCCATGTTTAGCATGTCGTTCTCTCAGATGCACAAAACCCTCTCATGTCTGCATGAAATGTCTTCACAGCGCATTCTGGGTAAAGCAGACAGTACTTCCAGTGCCCTTGCCTGCTGTCTTTGCTGGCAGCTTTGAGTAGACTTGGATAGGACAGAGAAGTTCTCTGTTCCTTGCAGATTTAGTTTCCTCTGCTGTTGAAAACGTGCAGGGCTTTGCTGGGTGTCGGGCAGGCATCGCGGGTTCCACCTTCTTGGGTATGGAGCAGTTCTTGTTCCCATCAATGCTCTGTTGAGTTTAAGTCTGGGGTGCAGCTGCTCTATTTAATGGTTCTTTTTTGGGTCCTATCCTTTGTTAGGCGTGGGGTGCACCGTGTGCAGAATGGTAGATTACTTGTGTAGCCTGTGAGAGAGGCCCATGATCCCCAGCACCACACACACACACAGTCAGTCAGTCCATTAATTAATTAATTAATGACTGTGTGTACACGTATTTGTTTGCACATATGTGTGTGCACCACATGTACATACACCGTAGAGGCCACAAGAGGACCCTGGATTCCCTGTAACCGGAGTTAGAGATGGTCATGCACAGCCTTGTGGGTACGGGGAACCAAACTCAGGTCCTCTGCAAGAGCAGCAAGTGCCCTTAACCACCGCCTCATCTCTTCAGCCCCCCCCCCCCCGAATTAATTAAAGTAAGAGACCGGTTGAGCAGAGTGGCATTTCATTGAGGCTACTTCTGCATCCCTGAAGCTCGCTCTTCTCACTACCCAGTCCCAGAAACAATGACATATTTTTAAGTTTTGCAGGTAGAAGTATCCGCCGAACCCCACCAAGGGGCCTCGGCAATCTTCAGTCTCATCCTTCTAGCCAGTTCTCTCCCCAGCCTTACACGCAGACCCACACACGGCACTGCTGGCAGCTGCTCCTCTCACACTGTTTGAGCATCATGGACCTTGGAGCTTATCCAGTTCGGTCCTCCACCCTATATGTTGGCAGGACAGGGTGAGCACATATCCGTGGCCATGAAACAGCCGGGGAGGCTCGCTGAAGTCATCTCCGAGGAAGATGAGATTGCCCGAGAGCATTCTGGCAAGGAGCGGCAGTGGTGTGGTTATCCGCCTCTGGCCTTGCTCTCACCTCCAGTCGAGGCAGCTGTTCTTCAAGCCTTGGGGTCCTTGTCAGTAAACTTGGGTCTTGAAACTAGTGATATTGACTGTGGTCAGAGTGCCCCCGGGGCACAGTGCAGGAAGATTTCACCCCTGCTCCAAACTGACCTTTCCAGTGAGAAATGCCAGGCATCCCATCTCAGCTGATCCCCAAGGGTGGGAGTGGGGGTGAGGTGGCGCCAGGCTAGCAACAGGCACTGCCTGAGAGCCTCCTAGGTTCCTGAACCCCGTCTCTGCCAAGGAGTCTGTGGCCTTTGCTGCCCTAGGGAGGATTTGGAAAGCGCTGTTCTAAGTGGATGGTTGTGCTGCCCTCTAGTGGCCACTCTGCAGCTTGCAGCCACCCCGTAGCCACGGGTCTCTGGCAGCGAATCTTTGCCTTAAAGCTTTTTGTGCTACTTTGAGTAAAAACCCCACACAACTTTCGCTCCCTATCCCCTTTTAGGACCTTTGCACAGAACTGCCGAAACATTGAACATTTAAACCTCAATGGCTGCACAAAAATCACTGACAGGTAAGGAATAAAGATGGGTCTGGGGACAGAGTGGCCACGGGGAGACCGGGTGAGAAACAAGGTTGAAAATATCTTTAGAGTGTGCCTGCCTTTTTCCAGCACGTGTTACAGCCTTAGCAGATTCTGTTCCAAGCTGAAACACCTGGATCTCACGTCCTGCGTGTCTGTCACCAACAGCTCCTTAAAGGGGATCAGGTGAGAGTGCTTGGCATTTGGGGTCAAGAAAAACACAGTGTGGGCTGAGGAGGTAGTGCAGTCTGTAAGTTTCCATCTCTGGAATCCATGTAAACAGGACCCTAGTCCTAGGGAGGTGGAGACAGGAGGATCCTTGGGGCTCACTGGCCCGCCAGCCCAGCTGAGTTTGGGAGCTCCAGACAGGTTCAGCGAGAGCCCCTGTGTGATTAGGAGGGAGAGAATGCAGAAAAAAAGGACCCATGAATCACAAAAGAGCATAGAAAGCTAGGGGCTGGGGAGGGGGCTCAGTAGTTAAGAGCACATAATTGCTCTTGCAGGGGAACCAAGTTCCCAGCACCCATATTGGGCAGCTCACAGTTAACTCAACCCCAGGTCCTGAGGTACGATGCCCTCTTCTGTCCCCTTGGGCAACTGCACTCATAGGCACATCTCACACCCACACCCACTTTAAGATTAAAAAGAGGATTTAAATCTAATTGTTTTCTATTTTCAATTCTATCTTTTTTTTTGTAATGGATGAGTACATAAAATTGTAATGGCTACAGAATGTGTGGCATCTGGGAAGCTCCATGGCTTTGGAGTTCAGAGATGTCTAGAGTTTGAGGCTGGGTCAGTGTTTGATTCAAGTAATCTAGCTGTGTCCTGTTTTTTTTTTTTTTTTTTTTTTTTTTTTTGTCTGTGAGTTAATTACAATCAACTGATCTTTTAAAAATTAGTAACAAAAGGTGGCGAGGAATTAAGGAAGACACCCAAAGTCCACTTCTGGCCACACACACAACATGCACCCACACATACGTGCACTTACACAGAAAAACCCAAAACTAGCATGCTAGCATCTCAGTCTGAGATATTCCCAGGGACTCCACTGGGTGAGGAAGAGGCTGCTCAGCTGGCCCTGGACTCTTCTCCCTCCAGGCTGTCTGTGGTGTGCTGAGTTCAGCACGGTCTGCAGCAGGCTGCACAGGGCACTGTTGTTCTTTGTTCTCTCAGCGATGGTTGCCGGAACCTGGAGTATCTGAACCTCTCCTGGTGCGACCAGATCACGAAGGAAGGCATTGAGGCACTGGTGCGGGGGTGCCGGGGCCTGAAAGCCCTTCTTCTGAGGGGTTGCACTCAGGTACAAAGGCCACACATCTGGTCAGCCTGCTTCCCTTGCTGTGGCAGTCACCTTGGTACCTGACATGTTCTCTCACCTGGGTTCCATCCCTCTTTCATTTCCTCCATCTGCTCAGCTAGAGGACGAAGCTCTGAAACATATTCAGCACCACTGCCACGAGCTCGTCAGTCTCAACCTGCAGTCCTGCTCAGTAAGTACGACCCGGGCGCCTGCGCGCAACCACACTGCCCATCATGCCCGCGTCCCGCTGCCCGCCACACCTGCGTGCAGCCCCATTGTCTGGCCGCACATGCCCAAAGTGGCTGGCAGATGCCCCATGGCCTACCCTGACTCCTCTCTCCATGTACATTGGAGCTATGAGTCTTTGCAAGGTGAGAGAGCAATAATAAGGCAACATGGTCAGCACAAGGTCATCCATCAGTCTTGATCATTAGTTTCTACCTGTATTTGTATTTAGAAACATATTTATACGAATCTATATATTGCACATACGTATCCCGCTGCATAGCCCAGGCTAGCTTGAAACTCACAGTTCTCATGCCTTAGCATATTGCAAGCTGGGGTTAGAGGTCAGTATGCCTGGCTGACTCTTTCAAAACAACAACAATCAGAAACACTGTAACTAGCCCGCTGTTGAACCTGAACAGCTTGCTAATATCTTAATGTCATTTCTTTTTTGGATAAATACCCCTATAAATCCTTGGCAAGAATAATAGCTGTGGGTTGCGGAGCTAGCCCAGTCAATTAAGTGCTGGCTGTATAAGCACAGGGACCTGAGTTTGATCCCTAGAACTCACATGAAGAAGCGGAGCATGGCAACATGTCCTTAAAACCCAGCACCGGGGAAGCAGAGCAGTAGGGTTCCTCCAGCTTGCAGCCAGCCTCCTCTTACTTGGTGAATTCTGAGCCAGTAACAGAAGGTGACCAGCACCTGAAGAATGACACTTGAGGATATGTGTGCACACACATGCACACACACATGCACTCATGCTGCAGTGCAGCAAACAGCGTGTGCAAGAGAAAGCCAGCAGTCTTCTCTAGGCATTAGCCTACAAGTCTCCCTCACTGCTGCGGTGTGGGCATGCAGTCATGGGCTGCATGGCCCAGGGGGGCCCTAGAGTCTGAGAAATGTAAGAGAAAGGCCTTGCCTGCAGCTTTGAATAAATGAATCCCGCCTGGTGGTGGAGGGAAAAGCAGACGATCTTCATAGCTGGCTTCACAGATCTGCCTGCACTGTTCAAAGGACAGACCCTAGTTCCACAGGATTAACACTGGCCAGCGGCAAACCTAGAGTACAGGCACATGCTTACGTCTGCATGAATTAGTGTATTTGAACACAAAGACTTCCTGGTATTTACAGACAAATGAAATAGGACTCCAAGGAATATATCAGTAACTAGTTTTCCTTTTCTTTAAAGTATTTGGTGAGGTGTTATATACATGTAAACAGCACACAGTTCTATGACGAATACAAAGAGAATCCCTGTCTACACACCAGCCACATACTAATGTGTCTTTTAACTAGGAGGTCCTGAGTTCTTTATCACGAGTTTATGAATTTCTTCCGAGAACAGTACCTTTGGGTAGAATTTTGAACTTTCAGCATGTGTTGCTAACACTAGGCTATTTTAAGCTGTGCAGAAGCCACTTTCTTTTTACATTTATTTATTTATTTATTTATTTATTTCGAGACAGGGTTTCTCTGTGGTTTTGGAGCCTGTCCTGGAACTAGCTCTTGTAGACCAGGCTGGTCTCGAACTCACAGAGATCCGCCTGCCTCTGCCTCCCGAGTGCTGGGATTAAAGGCGTGTGCCACCACCGCCCGGCTCAGAAGCCACTTTCTACCCATTTTTGAGTACTAGGATTAAACTTGGGGGGAGAGAGCCAAGCAGGCACCTGCCAACTTGGTGATAGTCAGGACTTATTTACTCTTATTTTGGTTTTGGACAGTTTTGTTTGAGACAGGGTCTCACTATATAGTCTTGGCTAGCCTGGAACTCACTCTGTAGACGAGGCTGACTCCAGACTCACAGAAATCCAGTCTTTGCCTCCTAAGTGCTGGGATCAAAGGTGTGTGCCACTAGACCTGGGTACTTTTTTTTTTTAATTTTTAAAAGAGTTTCACTTAGGTAGTCCAGGATATGCTAAAACTGGTAATCCTTCTGCCTCAGCCTCCTGAGTGCCAGGACTATAGGCGAGTACTGCCACACCAGCCTGCTTCTATGTTGTTTGGGTGCCAGGGTGGAGTACGGTGGCCGCAGTAGGCCCATTCTCCTGGCCCCACTCCTGTCCTCTTCTCCCCAGCGCATCACTGATGAGGGCGTGGTGCAGCTCTGCAGGGGCTGCCACCGGCTGCAGGCCTTGTGCCTCTCTGGTTGTAGCAATCTCACGGATGCATCTCTCACGGCCCTGGGCCTGAACTGCCCCAGACTGCAGTGAGTATGACCCACTTTTGCTCTACAACTGTGAGGACTAGGCTGCAAGAGGGGGGAGGGTTGCCAGTACTGGGGGAGGGGTGGTGGAGGTAGGAGCTGTCGGGTGGTGAGCATGAGGACTCTTCCCATGTTTCTTGATCTGGTTCATGCATTCGCCTGTGGTTTGACTCATGCCATTAGGCTCTGGCCGTCAGAGTGGTCTGACGGCAAACAGACTTGTGGTGGGTCTCTAGGGCACCTGTCAGTGGATGGGTAAACCCGGGAAAGGTAGCTACTTGCTTGCGTCTTTCTGAATATTGGAGGAAGAGCTGGCTCCCAAGGCAGAGCTTTACTGTCCACCACCCCAGGCACTAACCCTGCATATGCAGAAGCTTGGCGCCTCAAGAGTAGCTGCTCCCTGTAGGCCTGTGCCAACCTGATCTAACTCAACACATCCACCTGCGTAGACACTCACTCCACCCTGACCTAACTCAACACAGCCACGAGAGTGGACGCTCACTTTCAGCAGAAACTGAGGTCCAGAGCAAAGTCAGTTTGTCCTGCACCTCATGATGGATAAGGAGAGAAGCTAAACCTGTAGATTTCTATCTCAAGACCAGCAGGTTTTTTGTTTTGTTTTGATTTGCTTTTTGAGACAAGGTTGTTCAGTGTAACAGCCCTGGCTGTCCTGGAACTCTCTGTGGACCAAGCTGGCCTCTAATTCACAAAGATCCACCTGCCTCTACCTCCCGAGAGCTGAGATTAAAGACGTGTGCCATCACCATTTATTTTCATATTCCAGTGAAACTGTTTTTTTTTTTTTTTTTTAATTCTTGTGAGACAGGGTTTCTCTGTGTAGCCTTGGCTGTCCTGAAATTCACTCTGTAGACCAGGCTGTCCTCAAACTCACAAAAATCCACCAGCGTCTGCCTCCCGAATCTGGGATTAAAGGTGTGCACCACCATCACCCAGCTCCTGTTTCAGTTATTATGAGAATTAACTCACATTTTTTCATTGCGCAGTTTACATTTTCCTAGAGGGCAACTGGAAATTAAACTGTCTAGGGGCTGAAGATGTAACTCGGCAGGAGAGCACTTGCCTGCATGCACGAGGGCCTTAGCTCAATCCTCAGCACCAAAGAACGAATAAGTGTCATGGATGTCAAGATGATTTTGTTTATCAAAAGTCCATTTTAATTGTTTTTATTTTTTAAAGAATTTTTATGATTTATTTAACTTTATATTATGTGCATTGGTGTAAAAGTGTCAGATCCCCTGGAACTGGATTTATAGACGGTTGTGAGCTGTCATGTGGGTACTGGGAATTGAACCCAGGTTCTCTGGAAGAGTAGTCAGTGGTCTTAACCACCAAGCCGTCTCTTCAGCCGCCCCTAGTTGTGTTTTTAAAAACAGTACTTGGCAGGCTCCTTGATCACTATGTCTCTGTCTCTGATGAGATATTAGAACTCAGCTCTGGTCCACGTATCCTGGTGCTGCTGTCTGTCCTGAGAGGCTGTGGTCGCATGACCCTGAAGGTCATGGGGAGGAAGCTCAGTGTGCTGCACCATGCAGTGCTTCTGTTGTTAACCAGGCTCTGCTTCTGCTCTCCCCTCCCCAGGATTTTGGAGGCTGCTCGATGCTCCCATTTGACTGATGCAGGCTTTACACTTCTAGCTCGGGTAAGGCACTGAGTTTGAAAAACAAGTACTGCATTGCAACTCACCCTGCTAATTCAGAGTGGCTCAGGTAGTTTTGGGGAGCACAAACGAACATGAGGTAGGATGGAGCCCTTTCGGTAGGCTGTGCACCTTTTTCAGCAGGTCAGGACGCTAGGGAGATCCTGGCAGGCATGTCCCACCTTCCGCCTAGCACTGGCAATTCCAAAGTTCATTTTAAGAGCTGTGCGCTCAGCCGGACGGACACACCTTTAATCCCAGCACTCGGGAGGCAGAGGCAGGCGGATCCCTGTGAGTTCGATGCCAACCTGGTCTACAAGAGCTATTTCCAGGACAGGATCCAAAGCTACAGAGAAACTTTGTCTCAAAAACAAAAACCTGTACACTTGAGAAGAAATGCTGACCACAGTCAGAACTCACTCTGGGCACGTGCAGCCGATAAGCTGCAGTTGGACCATGCCCTCAGAGCATTCTGCAGGGAGTTCAGGCCTCATTGTTAACCCCCTTGAACAGATCCTTCTCTCCGGTGGCAGGTGCCATTTCTGTGTAGACCCAGCTGGGCATCTGCACAGCTTCCCCTGCCATGGCCGTGCTCTGCCCTGTCTTGTGTACGGACTGTGGTACCCCGTCTGTCTTCCTGTCTTCACCTCCCATTTTCAGGCCCTCTGCAGTGTAGGAAGGTGACAACCCTCTCTGGGTTGAGAGAATGGTATGGCCTGCAGTAGGCAGGTCATTGTCTGAAGTGAGCGCAGACTCTGAATTGCTGGTTTGGGATGGCTGTCAGTAGGGCTCACTCCTACAGGGCCCAGCCTCACGTGGCCCATGGAGCAGAGTGTTTTGTGGTCTCTTTCAGAACTGTCATGAGCTGGAGAAGATGGACCTTGAAGAATGTGTCCTGGTGAGTGGACTTCTGGCAGCCACTTGGGGCTGCATTATCACTGCTGAGGGCCTGGTGTAGTAGCAAGAACAGGCTGCCATTACTTCAGCATGGTGGTGGGTATTGGGCCCCCATTAGGTCACTTGTAATGGGACTTGTGTTTGGCTGTTCCAGAACTTCAGATAGACTTTAGCAGAGCACCATCCATTTCCAAGCTTAAGCAGGACTTCCTTTTATTTTACACATAGTCCATGAGAGGAATGAACTTGTGTGTCAGGTGATAGGGTAACTACAGAGAAGGGTGTCCTGGGGAACCCCTTGTCTGCCTGCTTTTGTGTCCCACCTCTAGGCTCCCTCAGGCACCAGAACAAAGTGTGCCTCCCCAGGTGTCAACAGTTTGAGCCAGAGTATGTATGCCTGGATGAGGTTTCAGTTTTCTTTTGTGTTCTCTGATCCCCATGTTCTAGAGAAGTCAGGATTAAGTGTTAGGGCCTGGCGGGGAAGCCACACTGACAGCCTGTTTCTCTCTAGATCACTGACAGCACCCTCATCCAGCTCTCCATCCACTGTCCCAAGCTACAAGCCCTGGTGAGTTACTCGTGACAGTAATGACTTACGCATCCCTTTTATGCGGGTCCCCTTCCTGTAGAGTACCGTCACTCTTGGTCTCAAAGAGCTCTTTGTTGGGCTAACCTGGGCTGTGAGGTGTACAGATGTTACTGCTTCCACTGTAGGAAGTGAAGCTGATAGGGACCCACGGCCCCATCACTTCACTAAACCCCATGTCCATCTTGTCAGGGAGAGCACAGTTGGCATGTGAAATGCTGTTACATGGACCAAAGATAGGGACCTTCCTCCTGATAGGCTTGCTTTTCATCTTTTTTTTTTTTTCTGGTTTTTCGAGACAGGGTTTAGGCTTGCTTTTCATATATACTCAGCCGGAGCGGAGGTCTGAGCATGTTCAGAAAGATCTAACAGCAGTCATGGTAGGGCTGGAAGAGCAGGACCCACTGCCCTTCTAATAACCAGAGTTCTCCCCCAGAAGGTTGTGCACCAAAAGCCCCTCTCAACGCGGCCCCTTATTTTTATATGTGCTGCTTCTAGAAACAACGTAGGAGTAGAGCCGCAGTGTGACACCATGAGTCAGGTGTCTGAGGTGTGCAGCTGTGATGTTTAGCTCCTGGGAAGCCAACAAGAAGACTTCAGGTGTGAGCCTAGGCTGACTGGCATGCAGAGACCACATTTCAAAGAACAAGGGGGGGGGGAAGCTTAGAAACCAAAGTAAGAAGCACCAAGGATAGCTAGCAGTCAAGCCTGGAGACTCCACTTCAGAACTGACCGAGATTCTTAGAAGGAGCACTGTAGGCTGCAGATTGTCCTGAGGGCTCCTCTGGCCGGAGACGGTTCTCACTGGAGAAGACAGGAAACTCAGGCAGCAGACTTTTCTCTGCATAAGGGATGTGACCCTGACTTCTTCAGAGCTTGTAGGTATCTCAGGATGTTGAGATTAACAAGATTAAGGCTCTCCCACGGGCCCACAGTCTCTCCCCATAAGCCCACACCATCTCTAGCACAGATCCCCTACCACAGCCTAGCTGGGACTGTTTTGTTGTTTTCTGAGTCACCTATGTGAGTTGTCTACAAGAGCATACAAGATTTTTGAGCACTTAGTCATCTCTTCAGCCCACTGGCCTTTTAAAGTCTTCCCAGTCCCGAGGCTTTAGCCCCTGCTACACAAGCATTCTGCCACCATGCTACATCTTTCTACCCTTGGATTTTTTTGCAATCAGGGTTTGTGTAGCCCCTGAACTGGTCCTGGGCCCAAATCTCTGCCTTTGACCGGGAAGATGTATCATTTACGTTTAATGTGCTGCATCAGTGTCCTCTATTTACTGTCACTTTTTGTGTTTCTCTGCCTTTTTGGTGCTTCTTTTGAATAATCTGTCTTTAATGTTGTAATTTACCTTTGACTCCTTAGCTGTATCTGTGCATTGATTTTTACTTTTTAGATGGTAAGTGTGCTTTCTGTAAATCCAAGGTGACCTCCCGCTGAGGGATCTCCAGGAAGGACTGGGCCTGTGGTTTAGACTGTCACTTGAGGACAGACAGGATCCTTGTGTTCTGCTCGTATCTCTGGAAATAGGCATGTGCCTGTGCAATGAGTCCTGGGATCACCCCAACCGCTATGAGGCTTGGGCACTGTCAGGAAGGCCCTGGCCATGACAGCTGCCTGCTGGTTTAGAGGAGGGGAGTCAGCAAGGACCAAGGGTGACAGACCCTCTCCCTGGCACTCTGGCGTGCTCAGAGTATCAGGTGGCTTCCTCAACAGCCGACCAGCTTCTCCAGTGTGACTGTTGAAGATCAGGGAAGGCTCAGGCAAGAGGAGTGGGTCTCATTCCTCAGGTGTGGTCACGACACTGTCAGCAGGCCACTCCTGAGGTGTCCCTTAGGAAGCATTGTGCAGTGTGTAAAGAGTAGACCAGCAGCCCAGTAGAGGAGAGAAAAGTCAGCAAGATTGCAAAACCGTGGCCTCCTTCCTCTGCTAAGTCCCTTCCTTATCTTAAAGTCTTCCTTATTAGCTGGGTGGAGCACACCTTTAATCCCAGAACTCAGGAGGCAGAGGCAGGTGGATCTCTGAAATTGAGGCCAGCATGGTCTACAGTGTGAGTCCCAGGATAGGCTCCAAAGCTACACAGAGAAACCCTGTCTCTAAAAACCAAAACAAAAAAAACAAGACCTCCTTATACTTTGTCACTTTACATTGATTGTCAGCTAAGCGTAGGCACAGACTTACGTCTCAAGAAGGGACTCAGAGACCAGCCGGGGGCCTTAGGGTTGTGGACTGAGTTGAGTCCCTGGGGGGTTTGCTTTATCCACTGCTGGGCTCTAAAGGAGCTGAGGGAAGAATCTCCAAAGGCCGAGAAGCCCTTCTGACAGTGATTCTCCTCTGATCCGGAGAACTGCGCATCCCTGCCCTGTCAGTAAAGGGGGAGTGGGGGCTGGGATCTCTCATCTCTGCCTAGTAGTGACAATCTGCCAGACCACACGTGCAGTATCAGTGGAGACCACACAGGGAGCCACTCCCTAGGTGGCAGTCAGATGTCTCCCACACCTGAATCAGGGCTGTTTGGAGGAGTCTGAATCCCATGGGCATTAGAGCAGACTGGGCTAGGGACTTGGCCACTGTATGGTGACAACAGGGCATCACTCCACAACGTAGTGCTGCGGGCCTGGTGCAGTGAGATGTAAAGACGACATCAGAACATTCTGAACTCAGCTGACTCTCCAGATAAGATGGACACATTTTAAAGTGGACTTTATAGAAACATTCCAGTTAGAAATTACGGCCGGGCGATGGTGGCGCACGCCTTTAATCCCAGCACTCGGGAGGCAGAGGCAGGCGGATCTCTGTGAGTTCGAGACCAGCCTGGTCTACAGAGCTAGTTCCAGGACAGGCTCCAAAGCCACAGAGAAACCCTGTCTCGAAAAACAAAAAAAAAAAAAAAAAAAATAAAAAAAAGAAAGAAATTACGAAAACACAGTAAAACCAACATTCAGTGGATGGCCTACTCTTGGCAAGTGAGAACAGCCTGAAGAAAAGAAAGACTAAGACAAGTAACTTAAGGCTTAGGGAGCTGGAACAGACAGTGTGACAGTCACAGTATCACAATTAAAACTGAAACAGCGCCAGGCGACGGTGGTGCACGCCTTTAATCCCAGCACTCGGGAGGCAGAGGCAGGCGGATCTCTGTGAGTTCGAGACCAGCCTGGTCTACCAAGCTAGTTCCAGGACAGGCTCCAAAGCCACAGAGAAACCCTGTCTCGAAAAACAAAAAACAAAACAAAACAAAAAAAAAAAAAATAAAGAATGGTTGTATGAGCTGATCTCTGGGTTTAAAAAAAAAAATAAAACTGAAACAGCTAAAAATTCCAAAATTAGTAAAATGTTCCTTTAGATTGAAGCTGATCAAACCTCGGACAAGACCAATGTTCACCACCACACCCCCTACCCATCCTCCAACCACCAAGGCCAGTTCCTCACGAGGTGCCTGAACATCAAGATGTGAGGGTGCAGCCAGGACAGCACTGCAGACCACACCAGTGCAGACCACACTTGAGGGAGGCCCCAGTGATTGATTTATATTCCCAACTCCAAGATCCAGAACAAAGGAAAAGAAATAAGCCCAAATTAAAAGGACATGACATGGTAGAGATCAGTGAAGCTGAAACCAAAACCGCAGCAGTATCTCAGCAACGCTACAGCAGCTTTGGGAACAGGCCCTCAGGCTGTGCTGCCACCACAGCTGTCCAGGCCCAGCATCCCTATCCAAAAGGGTTGGAACAGAGGTGTTTGGGCTACCAGACTGTTTCATTACACATGTATCATACACACTATGCAAATTAAGTGCTTGGGATTTAGTGCCAAAGTCTAAACACATATTCATGTCTTGTTCGACTGTGGCCTGCTCACGAGGTCAGTTGTGGATTTCCTATTTGTGGTACTGTGTAAATTTTTAGATTTTGGAGATTTTCAAATTTTCACAGTATGGATTTGACAACATAGGTGAAATGGACAAATAACTCATTTGATGTAAAACAACCCCAAAACTTCTCAAGGAAATTCACTTATAATCTTTAAATTCTCCCAAATATTCAAGTGGATTTGCTTAGAATTCTTCCTAACATTTAAAGAATTAACAGATTCTGTACTGATGAGCTCTCTGAGAAGTGTAACATATTCTCTCTCTCTCTGAGTAGAGAGAGAAGCCTCTACTCAGATGACTCTGGGATCAAAAACCCATGGTCAGGCTCGGTGGAGAGGGTGTTTGCTGCCAAGCCTGATCCAAACCGTGGTAGGAAAGAGCCATCGCCTGCAAGCTGTTCAGACCTCAGACCTTCACTTCTGCCATGCATTGGCTTGCCTGGCCTGCACGTCATGTGCCCTAGCTCCTGTTTCTCTCTATCCAAGGACATCCCCTATTTCCTGCTAAACTCTAAGCCTGACATTCTCCTCCACCATCTGGGACCTTTCCTACTCAGCCCCGGAATCTCAGACATTATCTCATAGCCTTTTCTCCAGGGTAAACACATCAATCACTTGCAGGCACTGTCCCCCACCCCCACGTCCTTGCATCTTGGTATAGATTTTCTACTTTCACAGTGAAGAAACTGTCCAGTCTGAAGTTACTACGTAACCTTTATCATCACTCCCAAGAGGTCGATGCTGTATGCAGGGGTCAAGGTCTCAGACGTCTACACTTTAACGTCTGTGTTGTCTGTGCTAGGGTGATTGCATGTGACTGCAGGTGCTCACGGAAGCCAATGGCATTGGATCCTCCTGTAGCCAGAGTCACAAGCAGTGGTGAGCCACCATCTGAGTTGAGAACCAAACTTTGGTCCTCTGGAAGAGCAGTGTGTGCTTTTTAACTACTGAGCCACCTCTCCAGCCCCTGTACATTTTAAAGGAACAAGGGCACCAAAACGGCTGGCTTTACTGGTGAAGCCTCTACTCAGACGGTGAACTGGGCCATAAAATTGCTCAAGGGGGAAAACTTTTAAATACTCCCCTGAAACATGTATTTCCTTATTTCTGGTTAAAGTAGGCTGCCTGGGTGCAAAAAACCCAGGGCCTTGTCAGCTCCTCTCTGGACAAGGAAACAGTGTCACAGCCATTTTATGCCGGTCTTACAGAAATCCCCAAGCAAGTGTTTCCTGCAGTAATGGATGTCGATCTGATGAGGTTTTGTAGACTCCAGCCTTTCCATCTTTCATTCATTCACAACGTGGCCCTCCCCAACACATGGCACTCAATTTCCAGCATGTGCTTTTCAGAGGACAAATCACACCGCAGCCAGCAGTTAGTTACTCAGGGGCACTTGAGGGGCCGACTCCCCAGCTCTTACCTCTGAAGGAACGTATTTCTTCCCTCCCTAGAGTTTGTCCCACTGTGAGCTCATCACAGATGAAGGGATCCTACACCTGAGCAGCAGCACATGTGGGCACGAGAGACTGCGGGTACTGGAGCTGGACAACTGCCTCCTTGTCACGGATGCTTCACTGGAGCACCTGGAGAACTGCCGTGGCTTAGAGCGGCTGGAGCTGTACGACTGCCAGCAGGTCACCCGTGCAGGCATCAAGCGCATGCGGGTAGGTGCAAGTCCCTCCTTGGCTGTCCCTCAGCAACTGAGGAATACCCAGAAATCAACATCCAGGATGTTAAGAGAGCTCAGCAGGTAAAGGTGCTTGTTTCCTGTCTCCCTGAGTTCAAGAACACACAAAATAGACTAGAACCAATTCCCAAATGTTTTCTGACCGCCACATACATACTGTGGCATGCACTTGCACTAGTGCACACGATGTACTTAAAAAAAAGTCAACATCCACTTGTCTAGTCTGTTGTGTTTATGCAAGCTGGTCTGATTCCATACACAGTACTACCTTAGGCTTCTTCAAACATCTACTCTTGGAGATGTAGGTTCCATGTAGTCTGGTGACTGGCACTTTCACAAGCTTCCAAGGCAAGCAACTAAAGGTCACTGTTTTAAGTGTAGGGGCTGTTTACAAATAGGTGATCACTGCCGCTGGACAAATGTTTCCATTTGTATTTAGAGGGTGCTGGACTTTGGGGTAGAAGGGATGAAGAGGAGCAGTTCTAGCTTAGAGCATTCTACCTTCCTAATGTTAAAGGTAGAGTCAATTTTAAATGGACTTCAGGTTTCCTAAGGTTATACAAGAATGCTAATGCCAGGGCAGACTATTCCCCCTTTTCCATCTCCTTCCAGGCTCAGCTTCCTCATGTCAAAGTCCATGCCTACTTTGCTCCAGTCACCCCTCCACCAGCAGTGGCAGGAAGTGGACATCGACTGTGCAGGTGCTGTGTCATACTCTGACAGCAGCTCCTTAGGCCAAGGGCCCCATCCTCCAGGTTAGACCAGTCTTCTGACTGCGCACCATCACCCTGTCTCAACTCTCCACTGGGAAAGCATTACAGGAAAGACTTCAGCACAGACTGCAGTAACTGGTGATTCTATTCACCTTAACCTTGTTGGGATGCAAGCCAATCAAAGCCTGTGTCAGTTACCATATGGCAAGAGTGGTGTGGTGCAGCCAAGACCACACAAGTAACCCGGAGCCCTTCAGCGGTGGATACCCACCTAGGTACACAGCCCTACCCGGCTTTGTCAGCATCCAACACGTAGACCTTCAGTGTTAGCACAACCAGAACAGAGCAAAGAGCCTGTGGTTTTCTACCTGGTCCTTAAGCCGGTGGCCAACTTTAATTCATAATGATTCCTACTGATTTGCAGAACTTTTCCATTTTGAAGACTAAATAGCACCTTTATCAATGTGACTGTACTGCAAACTCAGAATGGCTGGTAGTTTCGTATTTAGAAACGTGTGTGAAAGGCATGTTAATACATTTCCAGAGAACACCAAAGAATGAGGACTCTAAGCTGGGTGGGGCATGATCTTCACCCTTCTGTGTCAACTTGTCATATCCAATTATAGGGACCAAAACCTAAACAAAAGCAACTTTGCATTGCCATTACCATTGGAAATGGTAAGCTCTGCCGTGTGCTACAGCATACAATGCATTTGTTAAGGAAAAAAGCCAATTATGTCCACACTTCTCAAAAAAATTTGGGGGAACCTTGAAGAAACTCAGAATTAAGGCTTAAGTTATCTATAATATAATCAAGTAAAAATAATGAATGGGTGCATGAGAATGAATTTTTTTTCAAATTTACTCTGAATTTTTAGAGATCATACCAGAACTACATTAAAGCTTCACACATGGAAAAACTCAAATGAGTAAGTGTTGGCACCTTTTAAACTCCTAACAAGCCCTTACAGTGCTCACTAGAACTAGTCAGAGACTATACTGCTATGATGCTCAAGCTGGTAAATCTGAGCAAAGCAGCTCTTCACATACAGGTGTTTTTGTATCACCTTAACTAGGGTAGGACACCCAGGCTTTTACTGTGGCTGCTGCCTGCTCTGTGCCATTGACAGTTACCGCCTTCAATGTGACCTTAGGGGCTAATGGTAACCAAACCTTCCTAGCAACCATTCCCCAGCCAAAACTGCAAAATTGAGCTGTTTTTCTGCATCTCTGTGGACAGTGTTACAGCACCTGTACACAGTGCCTCAGCTGCATTCTCAGTGGAAAGCAGATACACACATATACCCTGGAAATTCATCAGGAGAATCCTTGTAAGCATCAGCTTACTGTGAGTTCGACTACCTTGTTAGGACATGTTGCAGTATTCCCAGGCTTGAAGATTATATGAATATCACATCAGCTATTAACTGTATGATGGGGGGGGGGTTAAGTATGTACTAGACTTACTTCAGTGATTCAGGAACTCATTTCTGTTAAATACCAGAGACAACCATACATTTTTTTCTGAGCTAGCCTATCATAATGTTGGACTTGATTCACAATGACCATAACTTCACTCGCAGACTAGAAGAATCTCATGTCAGAAAGCCTGACTTGTCTTCTGTAAGTAGGGACAGTTCCTATAATTACCTGTCTTGAGTTGGATCACCTTTGTGGAAATCAGCAGAAAAGCAAAGGGCAGGGACAGCCCACAGGTGTGTGTAGGACACACCCAGGAAAGTCCTTCACTCCGCGTGGCCTGAGGTGACAGTAGCACAACTTAGACTTTAAATGAGCCACACATCTACAAAAAGATCAGAAAACATTTATTACACTGAACTGTACATCCTATTAACCAAAGTAGCAAATTGCTGGTGCTGTGGGTTCTGTACAGTCTCACTGAGACAAACTAGCACTTTTTGCAGCTCAGCACAATTTCAAGTCTGAGGAGCTTGTAAGTACTTTTTACCCCACTTCTAAAACCTGATAAGGAATTCAAAATAGCACACAGCATTAAATGACATTTATTGTTCCATAAATCATGAGATCCAAAAAAGAAAGCTAATAGACAAGCAAAACTCTAGAAACAACCAGGAGATAAATTCATTTCTTTCCCAAATAAGTGACTGGTACAGAAAGCATGTGGTCACACAAAAGCAAAGGGAAGGACAGATAGGAACACTCCCCTCCTCTAAAGGGCCTGCAGAGCTACAGCACTGCCAAGCCCAAGATGAAAATATGGAGACAGAGTTTACAGTTTGTGGCAAATAATTAACCCCCAATATGAATAAAATGCAAGACGTTAAAGCCTTTCCCCACTGAAGTAGTCATTCCTACCCACCTGAACAAGGGTCAGACCGACATTCACAGCCAGCAACTGAGCAAATGGGCAGATATACTACACTACATAATTAAAACAGAAAAGGGTTTTTAAAACTCAGACCTGCTAAAATGTTTGCGGATGTTTGCGGATGAATTCTGGGGAGGAAGGGAAAAGCCGAAGAATCCCTTTGAGAGTGGTGTGCAAGCACATGTGATCCTATAAAGAGGCACACCTGTTACAGACACAGCAGCAAAGAGGTAAAACACCTTAATAGCCCTGAACTAATCACCAGAGTGTATATCCATGATTGTACTGAAACTCAGCATCTAAGGGGAGAAGTGGGGGTTATGGTACATTTTAGTGTCTTGTTATGACATCTAGTGTTTCCTTGGGTTCTTTCGTCTCATTCAAAACAAAGATCCCTTTAACACCAAGTCAGAAGCTACCAACAATAATACTTTGTTTCCCCTGTTACATCATCTAGTTCTAATGTCTGGGGAAGGGCTTTAAACACATTTAAGAACAGAGCCAAGCACAAAACAAGTGAGTTGTGCACCTGGAGTCCCAGCTACTTGGGAGGCTTAAGTGTGGGGGGAATGGAGAACAGGGGAGACAAGAGAAGGAAACCACATGAGTTTAAAAGGCAAGGAGGTTTCAAAAGGTGAAATCCAGAACTAAAAAGCTAAAAATGGAAGCAAAAGCCAAACACCCACGTCTTTGTGCCTATCAGGGCTTACACTGACCTCACACCAAGGTACTGCTGAAAGTTTTGCTCATCTTCTCTGCTTGGCTCTTCCCTGGTCTGGCATGATGTCCTCAGACGTACACCTTCAGACATGATCGATCGCTTCTGACAAGGTGCTCAGCCTCTTACCTGACCAATGTTGCTGTGTCAGCACAGCAGCATAGCTCCCCAAAGAGAGCACACCCTATTTCTTCCCCAGGTCAGCATAAAGGTCAGGCGACAGAAGCCAAACTGGCATAGAAAGGTAAATGCCCACGGTTGAGTTTTTACATTCATTTTCAAACCGCATACAGTGTCAAAGCCAGCAGAGACTGCTTCTGGAACTCTGTCCACTGGCCCCTGTGCCCACACCATGGGCCGGGAGCTGGTTGCACGTCGACTGATGTGCTCGCTCTCATGAGGGGGCTGGGCTGTGGCAGTGACAATGAGGAGACTTGTCTCTCCTACAGCTCATTAGGAAGGTCATCTTGTGTTTTCAATATGAAACATTTCACAGTAAAATCCAATCCCAAGACTTCTTGGATTCAGTCTTCACACACTTTAAGCATGACTTTATTTGGTACTGAATAGAGTTCAGTCTGTATAAGGTATCACTTCAAAATTATGTGAATACCATCATTATTTTCAGCTGCCAAGAAAAAAGGGGAAAAGTTAAAAAAAAAACCCTAAACTTAGAAAAGAAACATTATTAAAGATGGAAACGTACAATCTGCTTCAGAGGTTACAGCTTGATAAAAAGTTAATTGCTTTGTTCTAGTTCTGCTTCCCTTTGACAACTCATTCCCTGGAACACTGCTCGGGGACTCCAGCCCCTACACCTCTTGCTGGCCCTACAGGGAAGGGCTTGTAAGAACAGCAGCAGGAACCCTTGTATGCTAGAAGTAAAATAGACCAAAGCACTGCACAAAATGTGTAGGCAGCCTGAAGGTTCTGCTGTAGGCATCCATCTTTCTCTCCTGGAAAGCTGAACCCGCAGAGGCAGATATATAACAAGTCTTTGCCTAATGGCCTCAGGAAACTGTGAGAGGCAGTGGAGGCATTCATAAAAAACAGAAAGAAGGCTTTCATGGGTACCAAGACCGGAGAAGTCCGTGAGGACTAATGCTGCAAACAACCACTGGTTTCACAAGATACATGATTAAGCATGGGTTTCTGGAATTTTGCAAGGTAAAAGTTATATGGTTTTGAAATTAAAG